CATTATTGAAGCAACATGATAGTATCCAGACAAGTTCTATCCTCATATTTTGCATCATACTGGCTATATGTAGGTTCACAAATTTTGACACACAAGATAAAGTCTGGCAAAATAAACACTCTAAGATAGAGTCTGTTTGATTTCTCACTTTTCTTGTGTTTTGTTTTTAGATAATTATAAGTTCACAACCTTAAGCAATTAATTATTTAGTCCACTACTGGGGGAATTCATCACTGGTCCCTTTGTAACAAATCACCCATCCAAATCGGTTTTATAGCTCATTTAATATTTCCAAGTACATTTGACATTGATTTGGCAAATAATTTTCCAGAATTGACTTATTGTGGGACATGCAAGAAAATGATAAGTTCCTTACAAATTTAATTCAATAACGAGGACAAACACAAATAAGTCGATATGATCCCCATTGTCATACATTATGTCAACAAACATGTAAGAGTTACTTCTGGTCTTCAAACACAGAAGAAACAAAAAAGCTTTAGATGTCTTAAACTAATGGTGTTATAATCTACATAGGTGGTTCATTACAAGCGAATCAAGTTCATGTTTTCCGTAGACTGCTATATACCAAAAGAAGTTTCAGAAGAAAAAAATTGAGGAAGGAACTTCGAACTAAATTGGAAACCTGAGGGTCCTAAATAGATACAAGAGACTTTTGAATGCATCTGTGTGCTCGAACATTAAAGCGATTAAGAAGTATTTACGAAGCAATTATTTGATATCCAATTTGGTTTCAAGACATCAATCATGTAAATAAAGTTTTAGTTATGCTAGTTTCCATATCTTGTTTGTATTTTGGAGCCTAAAGCTAAAACTACAAACAACATGATACATTTCCTATAACCATTTCACAATCCTCTCCTAAGAACAATCACAACTATTTCAGAATAGAAGATTAAGAAGCAGATAAAGAGAAGGAAGATACAGAAAAAGATTAATGTGTATTAGTAGTCGAGTTCAGATCAAGCCCCAACATGTTCCTCTAGGCTATGCCAACAGAAGTTCATCTCTACTATCCCATATCTGTACTGAGAGAGTTTTAAACAATGAAGACTAGTTCTAGAAACTAAAATATACAAGTTGACAAATCATTAAGCTGAGAGCATAAGAAGGGGAAGGAGACAACATCACACCAAAAAGTGGAATCCAGTAAAGGAGAGCAACATACATGTTAAAAACTCTTTTTCACGTTTATTAAGTAGAGTCGTAGTAGATGCTGAGAAGCTAGAACCTGAACTGGACACTTAAACTAGATTATTTTTTTGCGTGTAAAAAATTAGATTAGATTCCTAATCACACACTAAAGCATCACGGTAAGTTTGAAGAAACTAGGTGAAAAGACAAGCTTTCAACTTTTCCTCTATTATTATACAATCAACACCATAAACCGCAAAGCAAAAAAAAAAACAGTATCCTTTATAACATGATTCTGTATAAGCAAAGTGAAAAAAAGAACTTTATTAATTGATAAGTTTAAACCAAATAGAAGATTGAAACAATGATAATAATACTAAAGCCACTACAAAGCCAAACTCAAATCTTCATTCACGACAAGACTCAAAACTGAGTGTCTTTCCACAAATTTGTTTCCTCAAAGCTAGATTTTTTTAAAAATCACCTAGGACCCTGAGGACCGCCTCTGATCACACTCTAATCAAATCATTACCCTAATGACGATCACAATCATAATCACCCCAAAACTTAGGTAAGCAAAAAGAATATAGGCAAAAAAAATAATGAAATGGCAAAACGAGAAAGCAAAAAAAAACTAAGACCCCGGAGCTCTGGCTGATTTGAGTATGAAAGGATGCTGCAAAAGCTGTTGCGCAGACCATCTCTTAGGAGGATCACTCTGCAAGCAACACGACACAAAGTGTCGAAACTCCTGAGACGCTGTCGCCGGCGCCTCGGGAGGCTGAGACATACAAATAGCACACATCAAACTCGCCCAATCACCTTGTCTACTCACAGCAAAAGGAAACCTCCCCAAATAAAACTCCAAAATACTAACACCAAGACTCCACACATCTCCCGCGTAACCATCGTAACGTCCATGATTCAAATCAGTATTAATCCTCTCAGGACTCATATAAGCAATGGTACCAACAGACGAGTTACAAGGATCCATGGTCTGCGCCAAGATCCTACTCACTCCAAAATCAGCAATCTTAACGCTCTTCTCCGAGTTTATCAAAAGATTCGACGGCTTGATGTCGCGGTGGACGATATGGTGACGGTGGAGATACGCTAACCCGTTGAGAATCTGGCGTGACATGTCAGAGAGCTCCTCCTCTCGCGACACGTGTACGCCTTCTAAACACCCTTTGTCCATGAACTCGAGCAGGACTTGGATCTCACCGTTGTGATCAAACATGTCGTGGCATTTCACGACGTTTGCGTGATCAACGCTGCGTAAGATCTCGATCTCGCGGCAGATCTGACGCCTCACGTTGTCTTCGTGGTTACCGTATATGACCTTGAGAGCGAAGAGGCGGGAAGAAGGACGGTGGATCACTTTGTAAACCGTTCCTCCTGCTCCGCTTCCGATGCGGTTGACGCGTTCTAGCTCGGATAAGGATTTTGCCGCGGAGACGTTGGTTGAGATTGCGGAGACGGAGGAGGAGGTGGTGGGAGGAGGTGGGAGGGGGAGAGGGACAGCGAGGGATACGTCACGGTTTGGGAGTGGTAAGGAGAGATCAGGACGTTTGTTACGTAAACGGTTCATGGTGGCTCTTTCTTTCTTTCTCTCGACTTCGTGTGTGTTGTTTGTATATGTATAGTCGTAATGTAGGGTTTGATTCGTCTTTAGGAGTTAGATCGTATCGAAAAGGAAAGAGGAATGAAGAGGAATGAGAAGGTTCAACGAATCGGAATGTGGAGAGAATGAAGAAAAGTTTTGGTTTCCGAGAAAAAAAAAAACAGAAGACGAGAGATCACATCGTGTCCCTCCTAAAGTTTTGGTTTCAAAGTTTTTGCGCGTGGGGAGCAGTCGCGGGGGTTGGGGAAGTATCTGTGTGGTTCTGTGATGTAACACGTTGACATGTTTTTTTGTTGTTCGGTCTATTATTGGCGTATCAGTGGGGTTGTTTAAGCAAGAAATGATTATCAAACCATACGAAAACAATCATCATCATCGTGGATTCATTATCCACGTCTTCGAGCTAGACATTGAATTGTATGTAAAATTGCCTCGGGTTTTGACTTTTGTGTTGCATAGTTGATTGATCTAATGTATTTTATATTAAAAGAAAACTAAAATAAAAGTTAAATCCACTGTAGTAATTAATGTTTTTTAAAATAACACACATTTATAATTTTCTACTCTAAATATAAATAAGTAGTACTATTTTTACTAAAGTATAGAGAAAATAACAATATCTATTTTCGATGGAAAGATATAAGTGAACTATAATAGATTTACTTCTATAATTAATAATATTGATAAAACAAAAATAGAAGTGATCAAAGAAATAGAAATGAATTGTAATAGATTTACTTCTATAATAACACTTATAAACAAATATGGAAGTGAACTGGAATAGACTTCTTTCTACAGTAGTATTTTGAAGCAAGTATACAGTAGATAATCCATGTATATATATACATTTTAGATAGTTAGGAATCTGATGATTTATACATATTAGACACTTAAAATTTGAAAGTATAGATATGTATCTCACTGTGATGTTTGCAGGAACATGCTAATCCTAAGTTTAAGAAGCTTTTTAATAGATTTTAGACCAAGACAACAATTTGTTATATATATCCAACATCAATATCATAATATTCAGTTTAATCACTTAATCAGTATTCACTCTCAATCCAGAACAAAGAGAGTAGGGATGGACTTTTAACCGAACTGTTTACCAGATCCGACCTCGGTTTTGTTTTAGTTTTAGTCAATTTATTTAACATGTATTAGTATTAATTATCTATGGATATCGGTTTGGTTATTATCTTGAACTGAATAGGTACATGTTTAAACCAAATTCTATGCTTAAAAACATAGATTTGTATCTTCCGAGTATTGAACGCAAGTTGGATATGTGAATGACATCTATTAAATATCTGTTAGATGTAGAAATTATTTATCGAAAATGATTCAGACCCGATCGGGAGGGGGGAATCCGAAATCCTAGCCATAAGCATCTCCAACCTAAGATCTCATTTTAAAATCTCATTTTAAGGGAAGCAAAACCTCAAAACGAGGATTTGAGGGTTGATTGCTTCAACCATAAAACCTCAAAAAATCCTTAAAAATTTATATTATTTACATTATAGTCCTTGATATTAATAAAAACTATGAATAATGAAAATATTTCAAAAGTACATATAAAACATACAATTAATATATTATAAAACACACAATATTAAAATATTATATGATAAAATAATATAAATTATATATATAATAAAATAACATACACACTGAAATTTTTTAGAAAGTTACATATAATATACCACTTGTAAGATATGCAATACTTAAATGTTTCTATAATTTGTTTTAATTTATGTCAAGTTTGTTTAATGTTTTTTTATGATTTATATTTAATGTATTTTTATATTTGTATAAATTTACTTTTAATTTTGGGTATTATTTATTATATTTTATTTTATTTTGGTATATTTAAGTTATCAAAATAAAGTTAATAGATGTATTTGTGAAAGAAAATAATTGTAAGAACTAAAAAGAAAATGAATAGTAGTTTTGAACAGTAAAATTTTAAAAATATCATTATTTAAAATTTTAAAATTTGAGGATTTGAGATTCGGTTGAAAAGACAAAAATTTCAAAATTTGAGGATTCGAGGTTGGGTTGCCAAATTGTATGATCGGATGACTCGAGAATATTTTAGAAAGTTAAATATATTCATTTTTTTGCCGACTAAAAGAGAATTACAATTCAGCCCACTAGGTTCATCACGTGCAAAGCATGTGACTTACTAAGAAAAACAAGTCTAAACCGACTGTGCACACTTGTCGTTTCATTAATTCTTCCGCCGAGCAAATCGTTCTCTCTCTCTTCTCTTCTCTTTAGGGTTTCCTTTCTCTCTCCATCGCATGGCCGGCGCCGGAATCCACCCTTACCACCAGCAGTGGCCGCCTTCAGGAGCTCCTCCTCCTCCATCCGCAGTATCATCAGCTCCTCCACCACATCCCCCTCCTTCTGTACATCATCATCACCCTCCTCCCCCTGGTTTAGCTGATCGCCCTCCTTATGACGAGGTTACAACTCTAACCTCTCCCTTATTGTTTTAGTATTATTTGTGATAGGCTGTTAAGACAAGCTTTATTGATGCTGTTAAGACAAGCTTTCTTCATGTTGTTAAGACAAGCTTTCTTGAAGCTGTTAAGACAAGCTTTCTTGATGTTATTGTCTCAAATTGGGATTTTTCATTAATTTTTCGTGCTGTTATATATATATATATAGGCTTATGGTCTGTGCCACAAGAAGGGAGGGTTCTTGTACTTAGTGTATATATTTCAATGTCTGAATTTGTTAGACATAGTTGTTTTTTTATCAATTGATTTGATTTGATTGAGACATGTATATTCTTTTAGCAGTTATGTATTTATACCTGCTTCTGTATTGAGTTTTTTTTTTTGATATCTTACACGAGTTTGAATCTGTTGTTCAGCTTAGGACAATCTTCATTGCTGGTCTTCCTGATGATGTGAAAGAGAGAGAGCTTCTGAATCTCTTAAGATGGTTGCCAGGTTACGAGGCTTCTCAGGTGAACTTCAAGGGAGAGAAGCCCATGGGTTTTGCTCTTTTCTCCACTTCACATTTTGCATTGGCTGCTAGAGATGCCCTTCAGGTCTGTGTTTTCTTGTTCACTCTTCTAATCCTTACTCTTTTTTTTTCAATTTTTAATGGTGTATATTTTTTCGTGGAATGTAGCATCTGGTGTTTGATGCGGAGTCCAAGTCTGTGTTACATGCAGAGATGGCCAAGAAGAATCTCTTTGTTAAAAGAGGTTAGCTTAAACTTTTATTATCTTTAAGCATTGGTCACCTTACTTACTTTTTTTAACATTTGAACCTCTCTATTGTTATTCTGTTAGGAATCGTTGGCGATTCAAATGCTTATGATCAAAGTAAGCGGCTAAGAACTGGTGGTGACTGCACACACTCTGTTTATAGTCCGTCTCCCTTCCACCCTCCACCACCTCCCGTTTGGGGTCCACCTCATGGCCATGGGTGAGCATTTTGATTCTTCTTCATATATATATTTAATTTATGATGAATTTTTTTTAATTTGATTCGTAGTCTTCCTTTTTTAGTTGTTAATTTGACATCAAATATAATCTGATTTAGGTATCTGTCACCCGCAGCTCCACCATATGAGCCGTATGCAGGTTACCATGCTCCCCCTGTACCAATGCCTCCCTCTGCACCTATAGCAGCTCCTAGTTCTTATGTACCTGTCCAGGTCAAGTTTCATTTCTTTCATCAATTTATTTTTAATAGGTTTTCTTATCTACCTAGAATCCATGTGGTACCTGTCTAATACTCTACAAACTCAAAAGTTCATTCTGCATATACAACTTCTGATTATTTGATAAATGTTTTACCAATTTTTGATGTTTTCTAACCTGGGTTCACTGATCTTATATCTCATGATGTTTTCTATCTTTTTCATTGCAGAATATTAAGGATAACCCTCCTTGCAATACCCTTTTTATTGGTAATCTCGGGGAGAATATAAACGAAGAAGAGTTGAGGAGCCTGTTGAGCGCGTGAGTATCTGTTTGCTTTGATGGCACTCCTCCTTAAACTGTGTATAACTATCAACTGTACTCTCATCTTGCAGGCAACCTGGTTTCAAGCAAATGAAGGTTATTAGACAAGAAAGGCATACAGTTTGTTTTATTGAATTCGAGGTTAGTTAGCTATCTGTGTGCATAGGCACTTGAGAACATTTTACAGCATATTGCTAAACGGTTGGTTCTATTTTGATTTTTTGTCAGGATGTGAATAGTGCCACCAACGTTCACCGTAACTTGCAAGGTGCTGTCATTCCAAGTTCTGGTTCAGTTGGCATGAGGATCCAATATCCTTTTTAACAAGTCACTTACTGTTGCCGTTTTCTTTTATATTCCAATATACTCGGATACTTTTTTCTATTTCAGTTTGTTTCTTCCTTAACCCAGTTATACATTTTCCAAGAATCCATATGGGAAAAGGAAGGAAGGTGGAGGCCATTCTTTCTTTTCTTCACCGAGTGCAAACGGAGCTCAAGGAGCCCTGACGTATCAGTAGGCCGTGAAGGGGGGGATGTACTCTCTTCTCTATCTTCCAACAACTGCACGAATAGGATGCATATTGCAGGCAGTCTGCATTTGCATCCATTTCATTATCGACATTTTAAGCATCAGCATTGCTTCTTGTTCATGTGATGGATGATGCATACAGTGTGACATTCATCAACATATAACATGTGTCATTTCCTATTAGCTTTGCTACATTGCATTCTCATGTGTGGTTTTAGAAATCTGTAGGAGTTTGGATTTGCCATTTGGTTGATGTTTTAAGGCATTTACTTTATGAGATTCATTTTCATCAATTCATCCCAATGATGCTCGATCATAACATGTTGACATCCATCAACTTGGTTTCACTGCATGGCCTACCACATAAACATTACATTTTGTTGAATGCGGCTCTCATGATCTTTCTCTCACGTCGGTGTCATTCTTCAGCATTTACCATCTTGATCATTCATTCTTCTTAACCTGCTGAATAAGTACATCCATTTATTGAAAACTTGACAGATAAGATTTAGTTGACGATAAGCACTCCATTACATTGTAGGTCTATAGTTGAGCCGTATATATATATATATATATATATATAATGTCCATCCCCAGGTTTGGCTTGGCCTTAGCAGGGACAATCAGGTTGGAATAATATTTCACATTACCAAGGTGAGGTATGTCCAGGAACAGAACATGATGACGCAGGTGTTTCTAAGAGCTAGCATGGAGGCTACTTATCATTTGGTCCAAAGAACCTATCTCTTCTCGTACTGATGTACAATGTCCTGCGGCTTTTAGGCTAGTTGATTGTGGACCTATAACAAGACACAATTCTTTTTTTTTGTTTACAATTGTGTGTTCTTTCAAAACACTCAGGTATCATGCTTAGAAACGGGCTTCGTTAACTTATCAGGAGCGCTTGCAGAACTCAAAATGGCTTTTTGTTTACTTATCAGATTTTGAGAAACTCAAATTTTAACCAAATGAACCATTTGGTGTATAGAGAAAGCGGATAAGAAGATAGACTTTCACAAAACAAGAAACAGAAGCCCCATGTTTATCATTATTTGATTGGGTAAGTATCGATCATTCTTTCATTACAGACAAACAAAAGAAACAAAACATGAGCGGAAAGACGCGCGCTCTTGCATCCTCATTACCATCCATACCGAGAATAAACATCATCAAACACGGAAACCATATCTTGAAATAAAAGTAGTCTCAAACTTCAGGTGCATCTGAACGCAAAACTGTCAACAAACAAAGAACGCGAGTTTAATTGTCTAAACGACACACAAGAACTAAATCTATCGCACACTTGCATTGTAATGATTCTAATTAAAAGTCAAAATTATCATCTCCTACGTAGTCTCTGCTTGCACACCAAAGAAGAAGAAAATAGATTAAACTTGAAGAAGAAGAAGGAAACCTGGTTTCTGGGGCTTTCCATCGGCCCACTTGGAGAGGGAGAAGTGAACCTTCTCGCGATTGATTGATTCAGCCTTGAAAGGTTCCTTCAGACATTTCCTCACCAGATTCGCGCAGATGTTTGAGTACGTTATGTACGTCATCCCCGCCGCTCTCCAGAACGGAACCGCCGCGCTCGATGCCATCTCAGATATTTGCTCTCCTTTTTGATCGAATCGAGAAGATGAGATTGAGGAAGAAGAAGATCGAAAGCTAACTCAAGAGATTTGCTGCAAAGCAACTGAGAGAGAAGAAATGAACCTAAAAGGATTCTCAGACCTAAGTCAACCTCCCAAAATCAGTGTTGGCCCATTGGGCCTCAGAATTAGCCCATGTAATTGAGTCTTTAAGAATGAGCATTGTCAAGTTACATCTTACATATGAGAATCATTTAGTTTTGATGTCCAACTCATTTTCGCGGGCAAATCGGTAAATCTGACGCAATAAATATATAATGTTTTGATGTAGAAAAAAATCTGTAGATTTTTTTTGCTATGGTTTTAAATTTTATGGAAAGCTCAAAAAATTGATGTAGATATTTGGCTCTGCAAAACACTTAGACTTTTTGATTATTTTATTTTTTTGTTGTCTGCTTTATTTTAAATACAAAATTTTTAGTAATCGAACCAATTGCAGGCCGCCACATGTCGTGGGATCCGCGAAACAGTTACGGATTCATGTCGGAGACCCTCTGTCAACGGAGTTCACCACTTGCAATTATTATATTTTTTTTTTCTTGGAGACTTATGTGAATCTCTCATAAACTGCTAATGGACATGCTCTTAATATAGCTGTATGTTATTTTTAGAGTTATGTTTTTTTTTTTTTGTTAAAGTTTGATTGTTTTCAATTTAGTGTTTTATAGAAATAAATGAGATTGTAGAGAGCATCTACAACAACTACCGATCACTCCTGTAGTTCTGAATCTTTTCACAAGCCAACTAATCTGATTTGTACATTCGTTAACTAGTGTTTGCATAGCATGTCGAGTTTACTAACCACAAAGTCCAGATCCACGTATACGTTACAGAAACGGAAAATGTCGTCCATGTTGTTAGCTTTAATCTGGTTGACAATGTTTTCTGCAACATCACGGAGAGGATCAGGACTCGCATTTTTATAATCTGATGCAACCCAAATTCCATCTTGGAGTATTTTTTTCTTTAGAAAAAAACCTTTTGATATTAGAGTCTTGTCAGTTGTGTTGCTTCAATGTGTTTCCAAAATCATATGAGTATTGAGTGCATAGATATTATTGACTTTGTCTATTATTCTCGAGTGGTATTGTTCCATCACACTGCGTTACGCTACCATTCAACAATGAATCAAGTGTTCATTTGTGATCCCCCCCCCAACGCAAACTTAGAAGACAAGGAAAGCAAAATACACAGTCATGCATATATTGTAATCATTGATCAACATGTGCATGTGTTTTATTTTTCCTGATCTTCACTACCTTTTGGTTCTTTGTGTAAACCGGGATTCAAGAGAAGATCATAATCCATTGAGACATGACCAATGGTGTACTAATGATGTGGTACGCCGAGGTTAGCAAAAGTTGCGCATTTGAACTTTGAACTCGTACTTATGTAACCTCGAACCAAAGCTGTATGCATCATTACAATTGCTTTTGAGTGATATAATTATCAAATTAATCACTAACACGTTTATAATGTCTTCTAAACCTATCTGTAATCTAGTGCTTTTATCATTTGCTTATAATTAATTTGTCTGTTAAAGTAACTTCTCTTATTTTATTAGAAAGGGAATTATAGTATATTCTTAAACTTACTGTATCATCAATTATAGAAGATTAAATATATATATTCTGTATAATTAATGATATTTTTTTAAAAATATTTTTGGTATGATTAGTGATATATAAGTATGTTATTTCAAACTTTATACAATGATTTGAGAATTAAATTGTTAATATTCACTACTATTTTAGCTGAAATAAACTTTTGACTCGCATGTATTTTGTACCATAGTTTATCTGATTAAAGATTTAAAACAGAGAGCAGAGATGTTAAAAAAATTTAAGCAAAAAAATGTTAAAAGTCAAAACAATCAAAATGTTCTGTTCTAATTGGTTGGATACCGGTTTCGTGAAACAACCGGTTAAAAATTATACCAACATTCACGGCAAAAAGAAAAAAAGTGTCGGTGGCTGACTAATGCTTTTGTTAGCGTAAGACATCAATTTCAACAATCAATACTGACAATAACACTCCCTAGAGATTAACTTTCACTACAAAAGTAATCAAAAGGGGAAGTGAGATTTCATATTTGAAGAAGATACCTTGTCTCTATATCTGCCCCCACAACACACTCTCTTTTGTTGGACTTTCTTTTTCTTTCCTTCTCTCTATTTCAACTCAGGATCCTCTGTTTTCACGATCCAGTTTTTGCAAGAAAGTTAGAAATGGGTGTGGATTTGAGACAAGTAGTTGCTGGTATTCTCACCATTACCATGTTTGTGATGCTTGGACAAATGCTTCATAGAGATTACTATGATTCTCTTCAGGTATATTATTCTCTGCCGACACTTTTGTCTTTGAAGCAGATCTAGTGCAAACTAGACTGTTAACTTGATCAGTCCCACTTTCTTGATTTTTGCGTTTAAGGGTTTTCTTGGAAAATAAAACTTTCCATTTTTAGATAAAATGTAGATTGCATGAATAAAGTTAGAGTCAACAGAGAAGTCTTTCAGCTGGATCATTAGGACATGATTGATTTCATCCTCTAAAGTTTTCTTTTCTTTCTTTCTTTCGTTTTGGGTTATTTATAATTACAGGAGAAAGCTCAGGGAGATGCACATGATATAGAATTTGAAGGATCCAGAGTATCTGTGAAAGATGGTCTTGTTGGAGCCTTAGAAGGCATTAAAGGACCTTGGATGGATGATAACAATGACCTTAATCCTTGTTGGCCAACATTGCTACCCGGTATGTCCTTGTTTTACTCATACTCTCACTTGTGTGCAGATTCTTATTTTCATTTGCTAAGGACAAAACGTTGCAGATGAAGCGGTATCATCAAAAGGGTATGTTACTTTCTCACTAACAAATGGTCCTGAGTACCATATCTCTCAGGTATGTTTCAGAAAAGCTCTGAAGTTTGATCTTCTTTACATGTGTTGTTATCTTCTTCCATTTCTTGTTTGTGTGATTAATTCTGATCTCCTGTTTAGATCACTGATGCTGTAATGGTGGCAAAGCATCTTGGAGCAAGACTAGTGCTTCCTGACATAAGAGGAAGCAAACCTGGTGATGAAAGGTTAAGAGTTGTTTGACTATGTTCATGACATTTTTTTTTGTCTCATAATTGGTTTCTAAGATCAATGTTTGGCTTATTAGGAGTTTTGAAGACATTTATGATGCTGATAAACTAATCAAAAGCTTGAAAAACGTCGTCAAAGTTGTCAAACAATTACCTGAAGAAGTATCTCTAAGGGACATAGCCATTGTAAAAGTCCCTACAAGAGTTACAGAAGACTACATCAAGGAGCACATTGCTCCCATCTTCAAATCCAAAGGAAACATTCGAGTAGCTACATACTTCCCTTCTGTCAACTTGAGGAAATCCTCACAAGACGGTGAAACAGATCCTGTGGCTTGTTTGGCAATGTTTGGTTCCTTGGAGTTGCAACCTGAACTGAACATAGTAGTTGAGTCAATGATTGAGAGGTTAAGGACTCATAGCAAGAAATCAGGTGGCCGTTTCATAGCTGTGGACCTTAGAATCGAAGTACTTGAGAAGCAAAGTTGCCATACAACTGGTGTTACAGGTTCCAAGACTTGTTACAACGCGCAAGAGATTGCTGTATTCTTGAGGAAACTTGGATTTCCTAGTGACACAACAATCTATCTGACTCAGCCTAGATGGGACAGTAGCCTCAATATACTTAAAGACATCTTCCCAAAAACTTTCACAAAGGTGTGTGTAGATCAAAACATTCTTTAGTCCAAGAAAGTTTTCTTACCATGTTGCTAATGTTTTTCTCACTTAACAAATGGCAGGAGGCAGTAATGCCGGCGAGTAAGAGATCAAAGTACCTTGAATCAGAGAGTTCTGAGTATGAAAATGTTATTGACTTCTACATAAGCTCTAGAAGTGATGTGTTTGTCCCAGCCATATCTGGTCTGTTTTATGCAAACACAGTTGGGAAAAGAATAGCTTTGGGCAAGCCTCAAGTGCTAGTTCCAGGAGAGATCTCCGAGACCTCTTCCCTTGCTACAGATTTCATCTCTCCTTACATCTCAAAGAAGAACCACTTGGCTTACTCATGCTTTTGCTGAACCTTCTCACCTTGATCTCTCCAAGCATGGGCCTTCTCAGTTTTCACCAAGTGTAAGCTATTTTTTTTTTATTTTTTTTTTCTTGCTTTTACTTTATGTAAGGTTGCTTTGTGTAGGAAAGAAAACAATTGAGTTTTACAGTTTGATTCTGTTGGCTCTCATAGCCTTTTGCATTCTATAAATTTTGTTCTATAGTTTGAAAACACATAATATTTGTTTGTAAGAGTGATTTTTGTGTGGAGGGTTTCTGATGAAGGAAGAAGAACCATGTGACCTTTACTATGCCCATTGGTCCCTAATTCTAGTGAGGACATGTGAAAAGTAAATTGAGCTCATGAGATAGAGGAAAGATCTTGGGATGAACACAGAGAATCCTCCATTTTAAACAAATTTTTTGAAAAACCAAAGACTAAAGCCAAACTCCCATTAGTACAACCACAAATCAAAATTCAATTCACAGTTGCACTTTTACATCATACAAAAAGAAGAAGAAAGAAATATGAAAAAAGGACAAAATAATTGGACCGTGCAAGTATACTATTACCATTTAAAAGAAAGAAAGAAAAGGTTAAGATAAGGCCATTGTCACAGGTTATTTGCGTCTGTAGTTACAGTAAGAGGAAGACGATTTATCTAGTCATGTTTTTAAGCATTTCTTGAGGCTCTGTATTTTCGGAACGGTTTCTTGAAGTAGACACTCATCGGAGTCCTTGGTACAGGAATCAGTTTCCCAACAACTGCTAGTGGCCAGCTGCAGAGAGACAACAAATTAGTGATCTTTATAGTTTCCATGTTTGATGAGCACTGAGAAGTTTAAGTTGGAAGAAAATGGTCTTACCTGACAAGACCGATGATAATAGAAGCAAGCCATAGTTGCCAACTCAGTGGAACGGTATGGGCAAACTCTCCAAGGAAAGTAACAATGAGTATCTGCAATTTCATCAACCAAGAGTTTACTACCAGATGCTATCAAGTATCAAGAGGCTTTGTGTTATTATTGATCTTACCTGAAGTACAAAAGTGACTCCAACAATTGCTATAAAGAGAGGGTTTTTAGATACTCCACTGAATACATTCATTTCATCAGGTTTCCTTGCGTTGAACTCGTTGAATATCTGGAATGTTTACATGATTAAAACCATTCCATTTGTGGTTTAAAAATAAGGAGATGGTTTGCTTACTTGACACATAACGAATGCATTGAATATCATAGTGTTCTTGACTTCCACAGCATGTGCATGGTTGTTGTCATGGCCCAAGCCAAGGATGTTCAAGCCTGCAAAGTTGAGAACTAGGAGGACAGCCACTTGGTATAATGACTGCAACATTCCCACATTATAATTTCAGAGCTATGATTTTAGTAATAAATCAACATCAAGATAGTTGTTTTACTGAACAAGTCACCTGCACAAGCAAGTTTCTCCACATGATGTTTGTTATTAGAGGTTCCCTGAAAATCCAGTACCACACATATAAACCACAATTTATCTAATTTTGTTTCACTAAAATTCTCAGGATGTTCTTGATGTCACTATACCTTCTTCCTACAGGGGTTCTGTGCATAAGATGATCTGTTGGTGGCTCTGTAGCAAGTGCAAGTGCTCCAAGAGTATCCATAATAAGGTTGACCCAAAGCAGCTGTATCAAAGAACCACCATTATATTTAACCATCCAGAATCATATGCTTAAAAGGCAGAGGAAGATTAGTTAACCTGTACAGCCTTTAGGGGAACGTCACCAGAAGACATAGCTGCTACAACATTGATTATAAGAGCTGCAACATTAACAGTAAGCTGGAACTGTATGAATTTCTGAATATTTGCATACACAGAACGTCCCCAACGAACAACCTGAAACAGTACACATAATTGCACTATTAGAAAAGTCATAAAGAATAGTTGTGGAGGTATACACTGAGACTAACCTTAACTACTGAAGCAAAATTGTCATCCAAAATGATGATGTCAGAACTCTCTTTCGCAACTTCAGTTCCTGATATACCCATAGATAGACCTATGTCTGCCTATAATACAAACCAAAAACAAGAAAATTAAGGTTTGGAAAATGAAACAAAAAAACATAATATAGTAAGCAAAGTCTAACCTCGTGGAGTGCAGGAGCATCATTAGTACCATCACCAGTGACAGCAACAACATCTCCGTTTTTCCTTAATGCTTGAACAAGTAAAAGCTTGTCATTAGGAGAGGACCTACCCATCACCTGCATTTTACACCCCAAAGTTAATACTTGATTTAGAATCAGTAAGGTTACATGATCCTTTGACTGTTCATACCGTTATTCTCTTGGCTACTTGTTCTCTCTCTTTTTCAGATAGCTCACGGAACACTTTTCCTTCAATGATAGTAGGCTCAACAGCTTCTGTATCTGAAGAAAGTATACCACACTCCAAAGCAATTGCTTTCGCTGTCTGAAGATTGTCTCCAGTCACCATACGTACCTAAATTACACAAATGTTTCATGTAAACATTACAGATGGTTTGACAGTTATACGATGAACACGCTGATGATCAAGAAACATATCACATGATCTGAAGATGAATAATGTAAATTTAGAAGAGGCTAGGAGCCTACCTTAACACCAGCACTAGTACAAATTCTCACTGCTTCTCTGACACCAGGACGACAAGGATCCTATATAGAGGAAAACAATTGCCGTCAAATAGTTAACACATAAAACAGAGGTCAAGTTACCCAAGCTAAGCTTTCAGCATGCATACCTTTATACCAACGATAGCAAGCAGAGTCAACTCATCTTCTGGTAAACTCCATTTATCCAAGTCCTCTTGTTCCTTTGGAACTTTGTTCAGCTCTTGTGTTCTGCATGCAATAGCAACACAGCGCAAGCTATTTTTCGCCATGGCATCAATAGCAAGTCTGAAAAACTCCTGTAATATAAAATTCCAAATTACAAATGTTGTTGATATTTGATATTTGAGATGAGAGTAAAGTATAAGCAAATGTTTTGTCCTCCTAGGCTAATAGAGTGTGTCTTTCAAGCGAAAATTTACAAATTTGTGTGTCACCTCACCTTCTGGCTATCAATGGGCTGCAAAGTACCATTTGAGTCCATGTATTGTGTACAACAAGCCAGAACTATCTCCGCTGCTCCTTTCCAGTGAATGAAAACTTCGGAATCACCCTGCAGTGAGTTAATATATAATCCTGATCAGTTTCATATGCTATTTTTTAGATCCAATGGCGATGAAAACTCAGCAGAACATAGCAGTGAACTGAAGCAGCTACTTACTCCAATGCCTCCACAACATTTTACTTATTTCCTAATCTTATAAAACATGAGAAAGGGTCAAGAAATTACTCTAAGAACAGCAACACCACCACGCTTTTTCTCAGAATTGAAAGGGAAAGCATGGATGATAGCAGACTCCGACCTGATGGTATCAAACTTCATCCCCAACTGCAACAATAGCTTCTTTAAATATATTGCCCATACAGAAGAAAACATATGTCAAAGATGGACTAGAGTAAACAAACATTTGATACCTTATACGCCCACGACAGAATAGCTTTCTCTGTAGGAGATCCAGAAATCTCCACCTCTCCACCATCCTACAGTAATAACAACATGAGCACTAACCATTCATAATTTGCTAACCTCAGTATGAGACTAGAGTAATTAAATCAACATTTTGGCAAGTTTTAGCATAATAAGAAACAAGTAGAGAAACCACCTTGGGATGAAAAACATTTCCTGTGGTGTTCTGTGCCACACCCTCACTTATTAAGGCAACAAGTTTAGGGTGGAGACCAGAGGGGTTGTCTGCTACATCCATCTTTGATCCTCCAGCATAAGTCTCAACCACAGTCATCTGTATATTTTTAAAGAGGTAAAATTAGATATCTAAAAGGGTATGATCATGAGTTTCACTAGATACTGACCTGATTCAAAGTTAAAGTTCCAGTCTTGTCACTGCAGATTGTTGTTGCTGACCCCATGGTTTCACAAGCTGAAAGCCTCCTAACCTGTTAGCAAAATGAAATGTGGTCAGACAACAATCAACAAGAAATAACTAAAGCGTCAATAGCCGTTTTAATTCTTACCAAAGCTTTGTCTGCCATCATCTTACGCATTGAGTAAGCCAAACTATACACATGGAGTGAAGAAGAAGTAGATGAAGAACTGCAACGTAGTTATTTATTTTCTGAGTGGATAATATAAAAATAAGACTTACGTGAGGGTAACTGCTAGGGGAAGCCCCTCAGGCACTGCCACAACCACAATAGTAACCTACACAAATGCCATGAGTTTATTGATATGTCTATAGACAACATAATCACGAATGTAGGATGAATACTTACAGCGATTGTGAATATCTTAACACAATCATCTACAATGTCACCGATACTAGTCTTCCCTTTGACAAACTGTGTTGCTCCACTAGAATCTTGAGAAGTTCCGGTAAAATATCTGTACAGCAACTCACGATTATAAGGCGCTTCAACATGCCATGAAGTTGTATTGACAAGAGGTAAATCAGGTTACCTCACAAGAAGAGCTACAAGGACAACAACAGCCACTGTGAGCCCCACTATACCGATGAAGGTTGCAAGACCATTTAACCGCACCTGTTGTCAGATTACCAAAAGGAACTTCTTCAAGACGTTGTGGGAGAACATAAAGCAATAAGACAGTGATCAAGATGATATACCTGCAAGGGGGTTTCTTCACCAGTATCCTCTGAGATACTTGCCATCAACAATCCCCATTCAGTGTTGATTCCAACACCAGTAACCTATTGAAAGAATCTCAGAGAATCAATACAAGAAAATGTGTAAGAACAGAGGTGAAAATAGGCCTAAAGCCTCAAAGACATACCAGCATATTACCAACTCCGTCAGCTACTTTACAACCAGACATTAGAAAAGGGGATTTTTGATCCTTATGACACTGCAACAAAGATCTTTGTTGGCAAGTAGAAACAGATGATAAGCACAAAATTTAACAAGTAGAATCATGATGAACTCACAATCTTGCTTTCACCGGTCATGCTAGATTCATCAATAGCAAGAGAATGACCACTAATTAGCACTCCGTCTGCAGGGACCTGGTCACCTATCCTAAGAGGTATAACATCTCCGACAACAACGTCATAGATTGAAATCTTCACAGTTCTCCCTCCTCTCATGACCTGTAAGAGTTTTCATTTAACTGTCTGCTCAAGAAAATATAGTTTGCAAACAATCTAAGATGTTAAAGCAAGCAACCTCTAGTTGTATATTCCGTTTTTCATCGTTGAGGTTTGAAAACTGAAGAGATTGGCGATAGTCACTAACAGCTGAAAGAATCAAAAGATAAAGTGTAAAGAAAGAGACATCCTCAATGGATCAAGAACATAAATAAAAATGTAGGCAACATATAGACGAAAAAGCATGTTGATACCTGTAACAATAATGACAAGAAAAACTGCAAACGCAATGCTTCCACCATCAAGCCAACCTTCTTTCAAACCCTGATGAAGCAAGTAACCAAAAAAATAAAATAAAAGTAGACAGAAAACAAGTGAGTTCCTAGTTTGGATCATTAAAAAGGAAAGGGAAAAACATACCTCTGTCTTTATTCCCAATGCCAATGATGTTACAGCGGCTATGATCAAGATGATAAGAGTTAAATCCTGCCATGCTTCCCAGAGAAACATCTTTTGGACAAGAGAATGTAAAAAAAAAACGTATGAGTTATATCCACAAGCTGATAAAAGACCACCAAAATTAAGTTAAAAAGAAACCAACTGTTGCTTACATAGAAGCTCTTCCCTTTCTTCTTTGGATATGTGTTAGATCCAAATGCATTCTTCCTATCTGTCACCTCTTTCTCATCTTCCTCGATTCCTTGCTCCATATTTGTCTTCAACTTCTCTGCAACACCTTTGACCTGGTGTAGTAACCAATGTCAGTTCCATGAAATCTTCTCATTTATAACAGAAAAAATGAATGCAATATGAGTGAGTTTTTGTATCTCTAACCCCTCCATATTGCTGCAAAGTGGACATGTTCTGGTTCCTGGTCATGGACACAAGTTTCTCAAGGTCAATGTCAAAGTTGCCAGTTGAAGCTGATGGAGTTGATGATGATGATCCAACCGCTGAAAATCACAAAAAAAAAATGATCATATAAGAAAAACAAAAAACAGAATCTGATCTGACTTTATGTAACAGAGAGAGAGTCACATACCACTGATTTGTTGTTCTCCAGCCAACTTAAAAAGCAATGCTGCCTGATTCAGTAAAGCAATATACTTATGTATGAGATCAAGAACATAGGACAAGAAGATGATAAAAGAAGAATATATACGTACCCTAATGACTTGAGCGTGTGCTCTGATCATCCTCCTACGATTCTCATAGTGTTCTTCTTTATTGAGATCCAAAGTGTATCGAAACCTACGTGATGCGTTCAATACAAGTGCCGCTTGCTGCAAAAATGTAATAAAGATCGAATCTCTTAAGCCACGCACAGACTAAAAGGAGAAGAAGAAGAGAAGATAAAGGACATACCCTCCAGCGACGGAGAGAGTGTGCAGATGCGTTCTTGGTGTTATCAAGGTCAAAAGGATCATCAGGATCGTGTTCAAGCTGTTCGTGATGCTCATCTTGTGTTCTTGCCGACCCTCCAGCTTCCATGTCGTCGTGTCGTCCCGACATTGACGTTGGGAGCAATCCATTACTCGACGAAGTAGTACTCATCCTCCCTTCCTTGATCTCTTTCACCCACCTCTCTTTCTCTACCTCTTCTTCCTCTTTTCAAGAAAACCACAAAACAAAACAAAACAAAAAAAGATAGAAACGACCTTTTTTCTGATAAAAGGTCGTTTGTTATTAGTTTGGCGAGAGAGATGGCCAAACTAGTAAGAATGAGAAGGCAACAAAAACCTAAAAAGAAACTATCTCTCTCTCTCTTAAACTTTCTCTCTGTCAATCACAGAGAAAAATAATAAGAGAAACTAATTAGAACAACAACAAAACTCAAAAAACAAAAGAGACACAGAGACAGAACTCAATTCAATGACGACATTATCTATATTTGGACTTGTTTACGCAAAAATAGCGGAAAGTTTGTTTGTTTTCTTTTTATGGGAAAGAGAAGCACATGAAGAAGAAGAAGCAGGAAGAAAGATATTTTCCCGGGAAAGAACATGGCATCACTCACCATTATATATAATGACATAACTTATATACAATCTCAATATTTAAATATATCGTTTCTCAGATCTAACTACATTTTTAAATATATATACTTCTAAGCTTTATTCACTGAAAATAAAAAAATGATGAAGATAGTGAAGCTGCCGAGGAAGTTCATATAAAACTGGTGAACGTGTGTACGACGTAAACTTCACTTGGGTTGCACGATATAAGCCAATTAGTATTGTTTAACTTATCTAATTAAATATAAAAATGTTTTATTGTGGTGTCAATAAAATTTTAAAGTTACAACAAGTTCTGTTTCTACCTGAGGAAAATAAAAAAAAAGGCTTCTGAAACAAATCAAACTTACAGATGGAGTGAGAGCAAATGTGTTTTTTTGTTTCTCAGTCTCATGAGTGATCTTCTAAAAATTATACAACAACAGATTATGAGTGTCCTAAAGAACCCTCATCAACCAAACTCACATCATTTTCTTGCGTGCAATTTGGTTTACTCACTTTTCACTGTGAGTTGCTAATGTCACCAGCTAGCTCGGCCTCAAGAATTGATTCCTGCAACAATGTGAAGAAGAATGCATGCTATCTTAAAGAGCAATTCAAGCGATATAGTGAAGAAAAAATGATGATGTTGCTCACATCAATCTTATTTATAGGCAGATTCTGGGCTGTTGGAGGAGGAGGAGCGGCTTTGGATAAGTCTCTAAGAGCCCCCTAAAATTATCAAACACAAATGTTAATGTTTGGTTTTATATATATAGAACAGACAGATCAATGAGACAACAAGTGTTAATAGAAAAGTGTTATTAGCTTATTACCTTGTTTGCCCACATTAGTCCACATGCATTACAAAGTGTTCTTGGCCCTTCAGGTCCACGTCTCATCATTGGAGTTGACTTCTCACTGGTTCCACAGTGCCGACATCTTTTAACATGTTCACAACCGTTCCAAGATGAAAAAATATCAGAGATTTTGTCAACCAAGTGGGCAAGTACACCAAGCTATAGTTAACTTCCAGGTAATAGAAATGTGTATGATAAGCATAAAAATCAGAGTTAAGTAACCCAAAACAGTAACTAAATCAAATATTTCCATGTTTTAGAGCTTGGTGAGGTTAATATAATAACCTCTGGAAAAGTATAAAAGCATTTTTTCAACTTACAAAGCCTCTGGCTTCTGAGAATCAGTCCCTTCCAACCCCCAGCTCTGACCTGACCCCCAATCCGATCCATTGGATGCAGAATCCTCATTGCTCGACTTGGCAGATGTGAACTGACCTTTCTTACGTTGCATTCTGCAAGCAGAAAAATGAAACCCTTTTAAATCTCAGAAAAGATGGATAGATATAAACAAAACATAGTTGTTGATTTAGACATAAAAGTAAGTACTTACCTCAATGCTACCTCTTTCCTGACAGTGTAGCGAATTGTCTTATCAAAATTCCTCCCTTTTCTTTTCTCTCTAAATCTGAGCAACGAGGCTTGCCTCTGCGGAGCACTAAACCTTTGAGGAGTACCAGATAGACCCTGGTTCATGCATTAGTCAGCAACAAACTCTGAGGAGTTGAAACTTATATTCCCATATATTAGTACATTAAAATCTTATATTACCAGTACCCTATTGTTCTGATGAGGTGATCCCACAGTTGTAGGGAGTGTTTGCGGTACTTCCCGTCCACCAAGTAATAAAAGCACAGCTTGAACCTGCAGCAAGAAATATCAACAAGAGCTTTATTACAACCAACTATAACTAGACCATCAAATAACCTAAGTTACGAGAAGAGTTAAAAAGTGACCTTCTCAGGCAAGACACGGTCAAAAACATAAACTTGTCCACGAAAGGACAAGGTCAACTGATCACCACCATTTTCAGTGCCACGGTCTACAACTTCACCGCGATGATCAGATGTGTTTCCAAGGTGAGAAGGAATGTCTGTCTCCAGTCCCTCATCCATCCCATCATCAACTTGCTCATCCATCATAGCGTGATGTTCATATTGCAACGGATCTTGATCTCCGACATTGTGCATTCCACCGTTGTTGTTTCCATGAAGGCCATCCATGGTCTTTTTCAATTACCAACAAACGTCAAAAGAATAAACACAACATTAATTAAGACTGTTTGGGGTAAACATGAAAATATGATTCACAATTAAGTGAGCTTCCAAGCTTAAAAGACAAGGTGAATTTCAATTTTACCACATATTTGATACCACTTTTCAAATTTACTCTTAAAAGATAAACATTTCATAAATACTAAGTTTGTGATGAAAAGACTAAACTAACATTTATAAATGTCAAAAGAATAATTTATAAAAGGCTATAAACCCATCCCCACCCTCTCAATAATAAACTCTAAACAATAATCGCTAAATACTAAATTCAAATGTTAAAGTATTTTTGATTGAGTGTATTTTGAAAAGTGGTAGCCAACTTATGGTATTTCTAACAATTTACCAAGAGACAGTCATATACAGGAAGATCAATAAATTTTGAGGTTTTATGATAAGAAAGTTAAGATTCTTAGCTTCAAGAAGTGAGATATGAGGAGTGAAACTACAAAGCTTCATCCTATAAACAAGATTAGATGATAATAATTAAAACATGGAGATAATTAATTACAGGTAACAATATTTATCCAATTTCAGTAACAAAAGCTGTACATATCAGATCCGATGAACCATGGTCTTTATTCATCAATTCATTATGTTACAGACAAACATTCAAAAAAGAAACAGAAATGGGGTAAACATGAAAATGTGATCACATTAAGTGAGCTTCAAGCCCAAGAGAAAGGAAGATCATTAACGGTGCGTTTCATATTAATTTTTGAGTTTTTATGATAAGAAAGTAAGATTTTTATCTTCAAGAAGTGAGATATGAGCAGTGAAAAATTACTATGGGGAAGATAATAATTAAAACTTAGGAGATAATTAATTTCAGGTAAGAAGAGCTGGAGCATCTTAAACTCTAACTATATTTATCCAATTCCAGCAACAAAAGGCAGCACATATCATATCCGATTGAAAAACAAAATCTAAACCTTTGAGCAATAAAAGAACCAAACTTTAACAATTGCAAATCCAAAAAAATAAAAATTGCTGCCAATTAAAAACCCAAGAAAATAGAGGCAAATATTCAACATACAATCTAGAGCCCACTTCACATATCGTTTATCCAATCCTATTGAGAAATTGAACTCTGACTTCGACAAGAAATGATAATTACAAAAAAAAAAAAAAAAATTGAGGTGAAAACGGGTACCAATTTGTTGATTGAGGAGAAAGACCAAAGCAATAAGTATGAAGAAGCTAAAGAAAAAGGATTGTAATTCACGATAAACCGGAGGATTTGATTATCCGGAGAGGGGTGAACGGAGAGAGGCGAGCGGAAAAGGAACCTCTTTTATTGGTTTGATTTTTTTTTTTTAATTATTTCCTTGTTTGGTTGATTGATTTTTGCTTTTAATTTTTATTTTTTAATTGGAAAATATAAACAGACTCAATTATCATATTTTAAGTGAAAAGCAAAACCCCCCGAAGTAGCTCCTCCCAAGACCAGCCCGTTGATAAAAGCCCACTTGACCCAATATTTAAGCTATTTTTTAGTTTTTTTTTAAAAAAGGAGATAAATTAGTATTTTAGGCAATTTATGTAGTAAAATGAGATTTGTTGTTGTTATCAATAAATAAAAGATTTTAGAAAATTTATTAGAAACATGCATAATCATTATCTTGTCTGGGGCATGGGGGATTTGCGGTAGAAGAATATCATATTTTCCTATTTATCTTGACAAAATAAAAACTAAAAAAATCAATTTCAAAATAGATAAATATTATTCCCTCTATTTCATTAGAAGTATCGTTTTAGGTTCATGCACATGGATTAAAGAAATCACTAATTTTGTATATTTTCCATATAAAACACACAATTACCTATACACCTAAATCATATATCAACCAATAGAAAAATAGACTACAAAATATAATTAATAAATTTTGCATTGAAAATCGAAAACGACACTTATTTTGTAAGGAAAAAAATTCACTAAAAACGATATTTAATATGAAACGGAGGGAGTATTAGCTACGAAATCTCAAAGACACGGTTATTTTCAGGTTAGAAATAATTATACTAACCACAACAAATTACAAATTGGAAATACAAAATTTAAACAATTTGCTAAAAAGTAGAATTCTTTTGCTTAAAAATAAATTAAAATCGGCAGAATGCCAAAATAAAATACAACCAAAACTTAAAACAAGTTATTAATTTTTGTTTCAGGTTAGTCATATTTTCAGAAAAAAAAAGTTGATTAACTTCATTCAATCCTTATCTTTCTACCGGAAAAAAAAAAAAGAAAACCCCTTTCTCCATTGAATTATGTTTTCAATTCAAACCCTACCACTCTCTGGAAAAGTATAAAGCTTTTACTTTCCGCAATTAAAGTCGCCTGAAGGCTGAAACAAAGTTGAAATATCATAACTCTTCGTTCATTCTCATATCATCGACCATGGAAGCTCTCTCTACTTCATCACTTTACATCTCTAATCTCCCCCACTTAAAAAACCCTCTCTCCAAATCTTCACTACCTTCTTCTTCTTCTTCCCAGTCTTCATGTTGTTGGTTACGTAATCCGCGAAGAATCCCGAAGCTGAGAATCAGAGATGGATCAAGCCACGGCCTTCGTATACAAGCTCTCTTACACAACAACGAAGATGACGCCGAAAGTAATGGCCTTGGCCTTTTTCCTGGTGATGTCTTCTCTTTATCACAGGTCCTCTCCTTTTTTTTTATAATTTTATCATTGAAAGTTCGATACTTGATTATAATTTGTATTGGGTATGCTTAAATATTCAGACTTTGGTATTGAATCCAATCTTAGTTTTAATGTAAAGATGGATTTGAAGTAGAGAGTGGCATATTTAGCTTCTTGTGTTGTGTGTAATTGATGTGCAGACATCTCTTGCACTTCCTGAAGGTGCTGGTACTAATAATAGTGGGGGTGGAAACCGAGCTGGGCTTTTTAGGACTCCTATATCTGGTGGTGTTCAGAATGCTACATCAGCTCATGCGTTGCCTCGTCCTGCTTTAGCTGTACGCAACTTGCTTGAGCAGGTATACAGATTTGTGCTTTTAAGATTGTTGTAGAGTTTTATTTTTTTTATTACTTGGATGACAGAGGTGATTAGTTTTTTTTAATATGTGTTGGGTTTTTGTTACATGATTAAAGGCTAGGTTTGCTCATCTATGCACGGTGATGTCTAAGATGCACCACCGTAGAGAAGGTTACCCGTTTGGCTCTTTGGTGGATTTTGCACCTGATCGGATGGGGCGTAAGTCACTCTTATCTTTCTTGTTTTTTTTTTCCCTACTTCTCATAATTCTACAGCTGTTTCTTTCTTTGTATGCTGAGATTTCCTCGTTTTGATGAGTTACTAGTGGACAACTGATTCATAAAAGTATTCAACTCCTCCCTCCCACTGTTAAAAAGTTTGTATTGATTTGGGTTTTGTGGGACAAATAGGAGGAATATGAAATCAATATGGTTCTGTTCCTTTTCCTTAAATCTTAATATGTGTATGTAAATGTTGTTTATTGGAGGTTTGGATAGTACTGAAGGCAATGCTAGAATTGTACATTAAATGTCTTGAATCTTGTGGCTGAGATAATATATATGCTCATACTTTTTGTTTCCAGATCCACTATTTTTATTCTCACCGTTGGCCATCCACACACGAAACCTCTTAGCTGAACCTAGATGCAGTCTCGTTGTTCAGGTAAACATTGGCTATTGTGTTTAAACTAAAAAAAAAATGCAAAAAAGATTCTTTCTTCTTCTTTTTTTCTGTAACGAGGATTTGGCTTGCAGATACCTGGATGGAGTGGCTTATCAAATGCAAGAGTGACATTATTTGGTGATGTGTACCCATTGTCCCAAGATGAACAGGTGGTGTAGCTAACTTATTGCTAATTTGTCTCTTCTTTTCAATTTTTAAGTTGAGAATTATAAATGAATCTCAGCTGCTTAAGCATTTGTATTGTGACTTGGTAGGATTGGGCACATAAGCAATATAGTGCAAAGCATCATCACGGACCTTCCGAGCAGTGTGGAAACTTTCACTATTTTAGAATGCACAACATAAGGTTTATTCCCAATACATGTAGCACGATTGTTTGTCTTCTATTCTACTTATATATTCCATACTCACTGTGACTATTGGCAGTGATATATATTTCATTGGAGGTTTTGGCACTGTCGCTTGGGTTGATGTCAAAGAGTATGAGACTTTACAGCCAGATAAGATCGCTGTTGATGGTGGTGAGCAGAACCTCAAGGTGATTTAGATTCTCCAACCATTCTTGTCCTTTGGTAAATTGAAGTAGGTTCTTACTTTTCACTCTTTAACTTGTGATAGGAACTAAATGCCATCTTCTCAAAGCCGCTTAGAGAGCTACTGTCTATTGAATCAGAAGTAGATGATGCTGCTCTCATCTCTATTGATAGCAAAGGGATAGATGTACGGGTCCGTCAAGGTGCTCAGGTAAAATAAACATTGTTTTGTCTTGTTGATTTCTAACACCTTCATGGTCATACACAGTGCCTCACAGCTTTTTTTTTCTGTGTGTATTGGGTTTTGTAGTTCAACGTACAAAGGCTAGCGTTTGAGGAAGGTCATGGCGTTGAAACACTAGAAGAAGCTAAAGCTGCACTGCGGAAAGTGATGGACAAGGTGAAGCTAAACTATCTCCAGAAATGACCAAGATCCTGGAATTTGCAGAAATGACAAATCCCCTTATATCTAGAGGGGCCTTTAGAATTAAAATGTTGTTTGATTCCTTCTCCCACTTTCTGAACTAGCTTAAATTTGTAGTTTCTTTACCCTCCTTTTATAGAATAACACAAGATGTTTTGATTTTTGCAAATTGACACTTACAAGAGACCTCGAGTTACATGTTTTTGAGAAGAGAACGTTGTGTGTCAATAAGAAACAGAAGACAACAGTGAGATAAAGAGCACACAAAGTTATGTGTTGAAAACTTGAGATCTTCTACATAAGTTTGTGTTTATAGTTTACAATATACAAATTCCCCCTTCAAGATAGAAGATAGATATAGAGACTGTTTTCAGGAGTGGGATGAGTTAAGCTCGAAGAATATAACTTAATAAAAAGAATGTGTGACTTTGCACTACAAAAAGGAGAATGAATGGTTGTCTTATCTCATGGATACAGTATCAGTTTGGTTCTCCACATCTCTGCCATTACCTTACGCGGTGCAGGATCATCAGGACCTTTGTCTCGTTGCCCTGAAGTGAAGTATAACTGCCCGTCCCAATACCCAGCCAGTGTCGTCTTCACACGGTATGGCAACTTCCCAATCACATACCATTTCTGCAAAGCAAACAAAAAACTCAGCTACTGTTTACACTTATTAACAGGCCAACGAGGGTCTTAAGCATGCAGGGATATGGATGTTTTTACCATTGTATTCAGGTTAAACTGGAAGATTTCGCCAACGAGAACCATCTTTTTGGTTTCAGGATGCTTCTCTGTGGTGCCTCCAACGATTACAATTGAGTTGTTAACCACTTTCCAAGCAAATTCAATATGTGAATCCGGCTTTGGCATTGGTGGCATAACTTTCCATTTCATTTCCTCGTCCAGCATGTAAACATCACTGAATACCACCTAGAACCATCAAGGTGAAGGTAAGGCCACACAACATCCAATAGAAACAATGGAAGATAAGTCATTACATTCACTTAAACACTTAGTCCATTGGAGACCTACCTCCAAACGACGTGAGCATTTGAAGATGGGAGATCCTGGTTTTGCCATGAAATCACCTTCTTGACCACCAATCACAAAAAGCCGGTCATCCACCACTACGCATGCTCTGAAGTCACAAGAACAGTCATGTAATGTAATGAGCTATAAGAATTAGAAGCAGAAACCTTCAATAGAGTTTGTGAAAACAAAACCTGTGAGGTCCTCCACGAGGGATTGGAATTTCACTTCTCCACTCTTTTTCCAATGCTTTCCCATCCTTTACAGCAATACTCCAGTGTTCAAGTCCTGGTGTATGTCGATTCTCTTTACTTCCACCCATCACATGGAGTCTACCTCTCCATAGCTGAGTAGCTGGAGCATACCTGAAAATAAATAATCCTTGCCACTCAAATTCTCTTAAACATCAAACATGAATGATAACAGATAACAGCAGAAAAATAACTTCCAAATACTAAATCACCATTCCACCAAGACGCATCTACTTGTTTTCAGACATACCTAGGAACTGGTAAAGGAATGAAATCACTCCACGTATTCGTATCAGTATCCAACACAAAGGTTTTAGCAGTAGGCCCTCTGCATTGAGGACCATATTGACCAGTGACAATGTAAATGTACCGCCCATCCGTTACCATCCCTAAATGAGAATGTGCCATCTCTTTAGGCATATCAAACCTCCCTCCCCATGTATTATCCACAAAATTGTATATATCAACATGAGAATGCACCTGAACAGACAAAAAGCAACTCATCATTGATCTGAACTCTGAAACCACCAAATGCTAGTAAACAAAAGATCTAAGAGTTACAAGATTAATGTTGCCGTAACCAGCAAAGACGTAGAGAAGATTCCTAATCTGAATAGCAGCACCATCAAGACGAGGCACAGGCGCAGGTGCCATCTTCTCCCATTGTAGTTGAGGAGCATCCAAATCTTGAAACGTGTCAGAAAGTTTCCTTTCCCGAGTTTTATCGTCCTTCTTCTTATTCTGCTTAGTGTCTTTCTCCTAAAAGAAAGCAGCACGCAACAAGTGAGCTACTTATCTTTTGTCTGAGATCTAATGGTACAAGAGACCAAAAGCAAACACTTACATTGGATTCAGGAGGGAGTTTTCCGATGACGGTGGTGAATGAGGAGGGAAGATAAGTTCCGGCAGGGGAGAAGCGATGAGAAGAAGCCCAAAGGAAGTCGGCAATGAGTCCCACTGCTAAAAGAGCGAGGCATGACACTAACGCAAGCCGGCCATAACTCTGCTTCCCCGCTTGTCTCGCCATCTCTCTAATTTGGCATCTCCCTAAAGGGCTTCAAGAAGCAAAGGTTGAACCTTTTGATTCAGGCGAACACACAAAGATGTTTAGGGACGTTAGAGGTGACAGATCTTGATCTCCAAGAGAACACAGAGAGCAAAAGCAAAGTTCTTTTTTTTTCGATTTATATATTTATTTTCCTTAAAATAACATTTTAATGAACGAGGACAGATTACAAATATTACAAAACAGGGTTTAACAAAGAGAGTTGTTGTCTCACTTTATTTTCGCCGCCGACTTCTCTTGTCTGCTACCTTTGTTCTCTGTTTTGGAGAAAGGGATTCGCTTGTTTTCGTTAAAGGTTTTACCTTTCTTACTTTCTCACATGTTCTTAGCTCTAAAAAATTGAAATCAGTTTCAATCTTGTCTATTATTTGGTGCAGGTGTTTTGTTTCTGAAATGTCTCAGTGTGTGAGGTCAACATTAACTCCTTTAAGAACACCCCTGAGCTTTACTAGGACTGTGTCTGCAAAAAGCCAAGCTTTTGGATCAGTCTCTTTCCTCAGAACATTGCCTGAGTTCAAGAGATACCCAAAACAGTGTTCAGTAGTTATGTCTTGCCAGGGAAAGGACCAAAACCAGCAACAACAGTTGTCTCTTGACGATCTAGTCACGAGTAACCGTAAAGGAGAGGTTCTTGGCACGATTAAAGGCTCTCTTTCTAACTGTCTCTCAGATACTAATCTGCTAGAGACTGTTCCTGGTCTCAAATCTAGAATCAAGGGCAAGGTTTGTTCCATTATTGTCTAGAAAGTATATATTAAACCAAACGAGTGATAGTATTGATTTTTGCAGGTGAGAGATATATATGATGCTGGTGACTATCTGGTTCTTATCACAACTGATAGGTTGAGTGCGTTTGATAGAAACCTTGCTTCGATTCCCTTCAAAGGACAGGTTTGTTTCTCTCTGCTTTAAATTCAAGTTGCATAACTCAATGTGTTGCACGAAAATAATGAGTTTTTTTTTGCTGCTGCTTAACTTTCAGGTTCTTAACGAGACCAGTTTGTGGTGGTTCAATAACACACAGCACATAACTCCAAATGCTATCGTTTCATCTCCTGATAGAAATGTTGTTATTGCAAAGAAATGCAAGGTTTTCCCAATAGAATTTGTGGGTTAGTATGTTGTCGGATTCTTCTCTATGCAGCCTTTATTTGCCTTAGTTCTGAATTGTTTTTCTAATATGTTTTTCTGTTTGTAGTCAGAGGATATGTGACTGGAAGTACTGACACATCTTTATGGACGGTATACAAAAAAGGTGTTAGGAACTATTGTGGAAATGAGCTCTCAGATGGTACAGTTTCTTTTGTTGCCATGGATAAGTTGTTTTTTTCTTTAAGTGCATCTCAGAAGATCATTGATAAACTTTTCAGGATTGGTAAAAAACCAGAAGCTTCCAGCTAATATACTTACTCCAACAACTAAGGCTGAGGATCATGATGTGCCCATCTCTCCAAATGAGGTCTAATATCTCTGTCACATTAGAAACTAAGTAGAAACCACAAGATTCGCAAGGAACAGTTTTTGGACTCATTAGCTTGCTATATCAGTGTTCTGCTTAGCTGTAACACGAGGAGAAGTCTACCCAAATATGTTTAGTTATCTGTTGCTTCTTATCTGACGAATGATTCTTGCAGATAGTTGAAGGTGGATTCATGACTCAAGCTGAATTTGACGAAGCAAGCATGAAGGCTTTGAGCTTGTTCGAGTTTGGGCAGGTTGGTTGCAACTTATCCTTGTAAAGTCCTAGACAGTAATGGTTTTAAGAATCTTATGATTACAGACCACAATAAATCAGATTCGTTATAAATTGTGCTTGCTTCAATACTCTTGTGCTTTGATGGAAGATCTTTTAGATTCTAAATATATATATTATGGTTTCTTTAGCGTGTTGCCAAGGAGCATGGACTCATCCTGGTGGACACAAAATATGAGTTTGGAAAAAGTAGTGACGGCTCCATCTTATTGATTGATGAGGTGAGTCTTATTCTCTCCTTGTTTTCGTGTAGTCTCTCTTTGTATGCTTAGATAATTGCCAAACTCGCTGATTATAATCATCTACCTGTACACGCATTGTATATAGATCCATACGCCGGATTCAAGCAGATACTGGCTTGCGGGTTCTTATGAAGAACGCTTCAAGAAAGGTCTTGAGCCTGAAAATGTTGATAAGGTGAGTGAATTTTTCCTGTTTTGCTCTTATCCCATACAGTTTAAGTCAGGTTTTGTCACATGTTGACTCTTTTGCTTTTTAATATCGAAACAGGAGTTCCTAAGGTTGTGGTTTAAAGAGAATTGCAATCCATATGAAGACGAGGTATGCTTACATCTTCAGGATGTAAATTCCAGCATTACATGTTAAAGTCTGCTAAGTTTGTTTGTGTCTATACTTGTCAGGTCCTCCCCGCTGCTCCAGCAGAACTCGTGACTGAATTAGCTTGGCGGTATGTTCTTTGATCTGTAAACTCGATTATAAACTTACTTGACAACATATTTTCGATATGGGAAGAGACATCGAACATATAAAAGCTGTAAAGTGTAGACTCTGAGAGATTAAATATTTGTTAGTTTTTGCTAGTAGTATTGGTTTTGAAGAACTGATGTAAGAACACGTGACAATGGCAGGTACATTTTCTTGTATGAGACCATCACTGGATCAAGAATTGACATTGTTCCAACACAGGTACGATTATTTTCATCCCAGTTCTCTAACATGTGTTGTGATTTTTGTTACATTTTGAGATATTGATCTGTACTGTAGCTTTGTCAACAGGAACCAATACATGACCGAATCTCAAGAAACACAAGCCAAGCACTTTCATCTCTCCGTCAACTTTAGTCTTTTGATAGAGCATGAAGCCAAAGAAGGCAGACACTATTAACTCTATTTCGATTGTTGTAACAAACTGAGAATTTCAACCAAAAATTAAATAATTTGATCGGGTAAGATGAACCCGTTAAAGAGTTCAATTGTTTTCGTTTGTAGTCATTGGATTAACGCTTTACTATGTAATTGAAAAGAAAGTATAGACTCAAGAACGAATAAAGCCGAGAAAAGATATTAATCTATACTGAAAATTGAAGTAAACCTTGTACAGCACCAAGGCTCGTGACCGGTAAAAGGTAAACAATCATCACAGTAATTGTTCCGCCTATCGATGCTCTCTATCTGAGGTTAGTACTAATCCTATTGCAGATTTGCATTCAACCACCGCCTTTTTCTGAGACATTTAAAAAATCTAATTGGTCTCTCTATCTTTTCTTTGTGTTCCATGTTATAAAACCGGCTTTAGCTTCTACATATAGACAAAGTTCTTTTAGATGCTTTTATCAGTCTCTACTTTTCTGCAACCAAAGATAATAAAACCCCATATCAGTTTAACAAAGACGACTTAACATTATTGAAAGGAAGTACTTCAAGTTGCAGTAAGACTTGCCTTTCACGCATTCACTTCGATTCTTTTTGCCACTATCGACTCTGAAAAGTTTCAGGAAGAGAATTTGCAAAGGTTAATGAGCGATATGCAATAATGCCATGGACTCAACGGAGAGTTTTAACATACCAATAGCTAGACTGTTTCAATTGCTGAGGCTGACTTGTTTTCCAAAGTATCAGAGAGAGTAGCACAGTTCTCTGTCTCACACTTAGGCTGATGGATCTCAGCGGTCTTTGATGGGGAATCAAAGAAGCACTCAGGCAGATCATTCTCTAGATTTGTCTCGTGCCTTAAGCAATGTTAATAAAAGCATGGATAAGCATTGATGTAAGTAACCAGTTTTAAATATGAGAACCCCTAAAATGAAAATCAATCATACCCGTTGTTGAGATGGTTACTGTAACCATCTTCTTGGATGTTGTTATGATAAGTATCAGTCAGAAAAGCATGGTCTGCTTCAGACTGAAAATGTCTTGAATCACCACTACCTGCTAAGAGAGAAGAACACAGGGGAAAGAAAACAATGAATATAAGCTTATGTAAAGCCATGTTCTGTACGGGAGAGATATAACAACCTTCTATGACTTCTTCACTGACGTTTTCTGATCGAAAGAGCATGCTTTGATTAACACCGCGAGAGGGAAAATGAACAGGAGAACCAATAGAAAGACTGCGCTGGTGATGGTTAAACAACTCGCTATTCAAGTCTGGCAACTGCAGATTAAGCATTCTTCTCCTTTGGAATTCTATCATTGCATGTTGCAAATCAGCTTCCTCAGCTTTTCTCCTCCTCATCATCTCCTGTGTGTTAGAAAACATCCTCGGTGCTGGTAGCAAACAAAAAAAATAATAGTCAGAGCTCTGATGAGTCAATATCCACATGGTGAATCAAGAAGATGAAAGAAATGCAACTAACCGAGGTGGCAATCAAAGAGATCCCTGGCATCCATTCCAGATGGACTTGAACCAGGAGAAAAGTGCCCTCTCTCCATCTGCTGCAGCAGTTGCTGTTGCTGCCTCCTACTATTGTTTGACCCAAAAAAATAGCATAAGAAAAGGGAACATAATAGGGAAGAATGTGAGAAAGGATTCAACATACTTTTCAAGGATTCTTCCTTTCTCTTTGTACGGTTTCACAAGCACACGTGAGTCGCAGATGAAATGAGGGTTTCCTCTGGCCAATATGATCTTCACAGTTTCAGAGTTGACAAAAGTGACAAACCCAAACATCCGTTTCTGCTGGTATGGAATCCTAACATCTTGCACTGTTCCAAAATTGCTGCAACAACAAACATTACTAAATACTACATCCACCAAATTTTTGATGATTCAAACGCATTAAAGCTCTGTGTTTTTGGAAATTACCCAAAATAATTGGAGACATCTTCATCTGTGAAAGAACTATCAGCTGGAAACGTCAAGTAAATCTGTTTAGAAACAGAGTTAGACTTATCTCCCATCCCCATAAACTCATCCCTTTCATGTCTCCCTGGACTACCGAACCAGTAACCCTCATCCCCAAACTGTCCTGCTCCTCCTGATCTGCAAAAACAAACACCACCAAAAGAAAACTAAGAATTAACACCACAACATCAAGTATAAACCAAGACTTCTTGCACTTGTATGATCCAAACTAATTCACTATAATTGCAGAATAAACCAAAAACCAGAGCCTAAGAAAATCATTGGTCACTATAGACTATAGTAAATGCAACACCCAAAAGTGGAAAACAATATGAAAAAGACTTCAACAACCACAATGACAATTATTGGTATCTCAGTCACCTTAATAGATTCACCAAAGTAATTATAAATGCACAAAGATGAAAACTTTACTAACCAATCACGTGTACATAATAAATACACATTACTATGCAACAAAAAAAAAGTAGGTCCATTTCATGAGTTACCTAAACCCATTACGCGAATGCAAGAGAAAGTTAACGCCTTTATCATACGACATTGGAGAAGAACCACCCGCCAAGAACTGAGCAGCAGCCAATCTCTGCCGTTGAACCAGTCTCATCCTCGCCGCTATCTCCTCTTGCTGTCTACCAACATAATCAAGAGAGCCAAACCCACCAGAAAGAGAATCAAACTCATCACCTAAACCGTGAGTAAACCGACTATAACCACCGCCTCTGGCAAACCCGGTCTCCTCAGAACCGAAACAAACATCACTCGCAGAGAAACTCCTCTTATGCAAATGGGCATCAATATTCTCACCAGAGAACCCAAAGAGATCCGCAGATTCGTCGTTGTTGTTGGGAAAGGACGGTACTTTACCATCTCCGTCGTCTGAAGCGTAAAGGGACGAACTTTCTTGGAAACAAGAGAAAGGGTTTCTCGGGGAATGACGGTGGATGTTAATGGGTCTGGAGATAGGGTTCAATGGAGTTGATGTAGAGGAAGAGGATCCGTTGGAGGAGAGACCTAAAGCGGATTTAGCTTTGAGACAGATGGAGTGTAAGAGAGTGTCGGGTCCAAGAGCGAGACGGGTCAAGTCTGTGTTGTTAAAGTCTTGTAAGAGGAGGTAGCCGATGATTTTGGAGGCGAAGTCTGGTTCTAAACTTCTGATCTTTGTGAAAAGTAGGGAGGTGGGATCTCCTCCAGGATCCATGGCTGGCCAGTGGTTTAAAAAGTTTCTTTCTTTTGAGAGATTGAGAAGGAGAAGAGGCACTTTTATTTTGTTTATTTGTAAGTTAATGCATATGTTTTTCTGGAGATTTTAGGAGTATATGCTTTTGTCTTGTAATTAGCATTTTATTAAACAAAAATAAGAAAAGAGAAAACAACGACTTTTGTGATTATCTTATATATTTAAACAGAAGTCACAACCTAGATTCATGTGTGGTTTTTTTAAAAATGGACTATTCTTTAAGAAGATTATGAAGATTATCAAATGTTACATAATTTAATGATAATATCTTTAAATATCTTTATTTTTCTATTTGAAATACAAATGAAATAAATCCAACAAAATCTTTTTGACATCTTTTTAAATTGTATTTCCATAATATTATCCCATATATTTATCTTTTATTCGGAATACAAATGTTTTTGTTTAAGATATTAAAATTTATCTAGATAGCATTATATATTCCTAAATCCTAAATAAAAAAAACTATATATTAGAGTTTAACCCACACAATTTTTTTTATTTTTATAAATATAACACTTTGATAATATTATAAAAAAATTAAATATATGATTTACATTTGATGTTCTATATTATATAACTCTATAATTTAGTTGTTTAAGTTTTTTATTCTTCATTATTAATATATAGTAATTTGTTTTATATATTTTAATTTATATTCTTATTGATTGTTATTACTAAATAATATATTTTTGAGTTTGATACATAAATTATAATTTAAAATAGTTAAATTATAATCTTTTTTAATATAGAGTTTTAATTTCTGGAATTTGCATACAATACATTTTAAAATTTATTTAGATACACTATAGATAAATATTTGTTAGTGATAATTTATATTCTTTTGTTGTGTTTAAAAATGATACTATAACATCTATTATTTTAGTATTTTGCACGATTTTATAAGTAAATATATTATTATTTATTGATAATTTTTTTTATAAATTATAAACAAAAAGAAAACCCGCACGATGTGCGGGTCGAGATCTAGTGTTTCTTTATTTTCGGGTTCTGTTTTTGTTACCAGGCTAGAACATTTCCAATACCCACTATTTCCTTATTTTCTAAAGGATTTTGAATTCCAACAGTTCCCTCTCTTTTTATTTTTTTAAAGTGTGAATAGTATTTTTTAATATCATAATAGTTTTCACTTTAATCCCCATAATTATATGTGTCTCACAATCAAATGAATAACTTTTTATATATCATATTTTAGTGTGTATCATTATATTTTCTTTTAAAAAATAATTAAAAATATTATAAACATTTTTATATTATTTATAGTTATATTTAAATACATATTGTTATATTTTCTTAAAATATTTTATTCTAATGTTTATAATTAATATGTTTTATTGACTTTTGAAAATTTAATGATTATATTTAACTAGTAATAATACTGACGATTGATAAATATATTTAATCGTTTTAAGTTAATTAAATTTTGTGTGTGATATAAAATTATTAATACTGTGCATAATAATGTTTTTTTTTGACTGAAGTGCATAATAATGTTGTTTGCGATAGTTTTGAAAGTTCGAGACAAAGGCTTGTCTGACATATATATTTTGTACTCTAAGGCATTTACATAATATAGTACAATTTGATAGTAGGAAATAACATAAACAAAAACAAAAGTGATGATCAACATAAACAACAAATTATCCATAACCTTCATCATTTCTTTATACCGCAAAAATCTGGAACCGGTCTGCTTCGTTAACCGCGCTTACTTCTCCCCTGACTCACTAAACCCGCGCGTGACATAAATTATTTTCTCAAAAAAGTAGTATTCCACTACAACGAGCGCACCTAGTTTAAAATACTCTGATCAGATCTTTACCGTTAAGGGTTTCAAAAGTACGTAAGATCTCCTTAGGGGGACACGTGAGGACGGTGAGGTTCTCAATGGTGGTCATAGTCAATTTGACCAGAGTTCGTATTATATGCCAGAGGAGAAACCATGCATCAGAGACAATAATGAAACAAAAGTAAATGCTCTTTACGGAAAGCATGAATTCTCAATTTTGCCAATTATTTTTCCCCGTATATTCTTACTATATTTTGTCATTTAAAAAGAAACAGTATTTGTGTAAATAAGGCTTCGAATGGGAAACGCAGATCAGAAAATGCAGATCCAACCGAAATACAGATCAAGCAGAACAAATGCAGTTCAAATTAATTTAATAAATTATTAAATTTAAATAAATGATAAATATTTTTAATTAAAATTAAATATCTAAACAAATACAACTTATTATAAATAAGTAATAAATATCATATTGACAAAAATAACAATAAGTATCATCATTTTAATAGTGAAATTTTGAATTATATGAAAATTCATCACAAATAAAAATTATAAAGAGTATTCTTGTTTGCTTTTTTTTTTTGTATTTTTGTTCAATTTTTTGTTCTTTTTTACAATTTCGTTCAGTTAAAGAACTAGTATGGTCAATTTTATATATGTTATTGTATCAACAAAAAATTTGTTTAAAAATAAAGTCAACTATATATGTTTAATAATTATATAAATCTATACGATTATTTAGTGTAGTCATATATTTTGTAGCATACAAAAATGTGTATAAATACTTTTTGTAGATTAAGTAAATATATATATATATATTAGTGTGTATAATATATAATATCATTTCACATATTCTTATAAAAATTGTCTTAAAATTTTATATGTGAAAAAACCCAATTAAATACAAATCAGCAAATGTGTGTTTAATCTCGTAAAATCAAATCAGTTAAAATTGAACCGAATCGAAATAAAAATAAGAGAATATACATAATTTATTTTACTAATGTGATATTCATAATTCGAACCTGGATTTTAATATATTTTTTATTTTTATAGCAAAGTAATTTTATTTATCTTATATTCATCATTGATAAATAATTGTGCTAAAATATAGTTCTTTAATAATTTTATGATATTACTATTTTCTAATTTTTATTTTAATATTTAAGAAAAACAGAAAATATTATAGTTAGAAATTAGAGTAAGAAATATATAGTTACATAAATTTTATTTCTAAATATATAAAATATTTTTTATAAAATATAAATATAATCGAATAGGCATAAACAAGACTAAAAAACAAAGGTAAATGCATTTGATAAATAAATTTACTGAATTATAATATTTTTTAAATAATATATAAAAATAATAATTAAAATAAATAGCTAAACTGAAAATACGAATTCTTAAATACAGATAATTTTTTAAAAATACCAAATAACATATATGAATTCATTGAACGAACGTATATAAAATATTATAAAATAACAATTTATGATAACAAGTATTAGTTGTTTAAATTATATTACTTATTATAAAAAATAAGCAAAATATGATATTATATATGATTTTCTATAACATATATGTTTTAATATCAATTAGATATTATATATGATTTTTAGTGAAGTAAAAAATTAGATGATACAAAATAATATATATGCCTATTTGTTGCAATAAATATATAAAATATGGATATATTAAACATACATAATTTTATGGAAATTCTCTTAAAAGATATTTATATGTTAGAAAATAAATTCCTTTGACACTAATCATTTCATAAAAAATATTAAATTTATTTTAATATATTTGTTTGTTTAGTTTCTAAAGTAAATTCAATTAATTAATAATGTTGACTGCTTATTATATAACTAATAAAAAAATAGTTTGGTTGTGATTCATTTATCGTCTGCATAAATTCCAGCACTTTTTGGCTATGAATGTGTTGCAGTTTATTTTGTATGCAGATATAACTGTATTTTGTGCCCATTCATATATAAATTGCAGAACTAAAAAAAAATCAATAAAATAAAATCTCATCTGCATGCAGATTCTTTTGTTCTTATAAATGATGTTCTGCATCTATTACAGAAAAACGTATGGGATAAAAGCAGAAGCCCAATAGCATATTTTAGATTTTTCTCTTTTTGGTAATTAGTTGTTTATAAATACCTTTATCATTTTCTTTTATCTATTGTCAAACTTAAATTTCTTTTCAAATAAGCTTAATTTTTTTTTGGTGTAATATTTTTGAGACATATTTATATAAGAAGTATACAAATGATATATTTATATTGTATTTAATTAGTATTCAAAATACTATCTTTTATGAAATAATTTATATTAAAACGACTTAACTTAATAAATATATGAATATATATATATATATATTTTCTTAAAATTACAAAAAATATTATATATAGAATTTTACCTATCCATAATTTTCTATATATTTTATTTGCCATAAATAGTCATAAATGTTATTTTTTATCATCCAATTTTTTTTCTTCATTCACAAATCACATATACATTTACACCGATAAATAAACACACACACACATATATATATATATATTATTGTTTATTTTATTTTTATTTTTGATAAGAAGTAATATAATTAAAATATTTTGTATTCTTTTAAAATATATAATCAGTAAAAATCATGCATTATATATTCAGTAAGTAATACATATTTTCATATAAATTAGTTTAATAAATTTATTTATATACTCTAATATTTGATAGTTCAAATTTATCTGCATATAACTTTATAATTACTTAATATCAATGAAATATCAATGTACTTTTTTGTTCTTGCATATACATTTATGCATTTTATATTTTGAAAATTTAAATGAATATTTTGTTGATACAATAACATATATAAAAATGACAATATTAGTTCTATAGTTGAACTAAATGGTAAGAAAGAACCAAAATCGAATAAAGATACAAAAAATATAGTAAAACAAGAATACTCTTTATAAATTATGATTTTTAATATAATTTTAAAATTTACTATACTTATTAAAATGATGGTATTTATTCATATTTTCGTCAAATGATATTTATTATTTATTTATAATAAATTGTATTACGTTTAATTTGATTGAATTTTTTTAACATTTATTTAAATATAATAATTTATTCAAATAGTTTGATCTGCATTTGTTCTGCTTGAACTGCATGATCTGCATTTGTTCTGCT